GAGATTTTGGAGTACTCAATCATAAACGGGAATGTCTTCATCAAACCCTCCTCTCAGGGCGCAGGAATCTATGCAGAAGAGCAAGCGGAAAGACGATAGAAAGCCGGCGGAGACAGCTGACTCCACACAGAGGCTTCCAGACACAGCGGGACTGAGGCGCATGTGAACTCCCAGAGACTGAGGCAGCACACACGGAGCTGCACAGGTTCAAGTCAGATAGGGTCCCAGTGCAATGAAGGAGAAGCAGACACAGGCTCCCACCCCAACTAAAGAACTATACGCAATTGTCACTAGATTGCAAAGGAAAAAGTAGTTTTCTCTGTTAGGTCCTCACTGGGTATATTAATCACGCCTGGGATAGGCCCCATGACCAGCAGGAGAATACAAAACAACTCAATGATACTCTCGTCTCAGGCTGCTCTCTTTGGACAATTTTTTCCTTATTGGCTTTCTGCTTGTACATTTTGGTTTCCATATTTGTGGGCTGTGTGTGCAGTGAGTTTCTTGCATTTTTTTTATTGTTGTTTGTTTAGTTGTTTGTTTGGTTGTTTTTTAGAGAGAGAAAAAGGATATGAAGTGTATGTGTGCGTGTGTGTGTGTGTGTGTGATCTAGGCTGGGGTAAGTGTGGTCAGAATATATGTATAAATTTTTTTTCAATAAAAAGTAATTTCAATATTATTATATTTCTCCCTGGTCTCCATGTTCTGAGGACAACCCACAATATCTGATATGGTTTTTTCCCCCTTGTTACTGCTGCATCATCTTCTAAAATCTGCGCTCAGGCCTCCTCTGCACCCCTATGTATGTCTCTGCTGGGTTTCCGTGTTTTCAACTACTGATGGCGTATTATAGAAATCTGCGGGTTACATGATATATCTGCAGCCATTGTACCCTCAAATATAGCATTGGTGCTGCTCTTTTTCCTTTCCCTCTGGAACCCTGAACACAAATGTAAGACTTTTCTACTGTTGCCCTACAGCCTCTGCCACTGTGTTTCAGACTAGGTTTTTAATTGTTGCTGCTGTTTGGTTTGTTTTGGCTTGGTTTGGTTGTGGTCACAAGTTCTTAGAGCCTTTTCTTTTAGGAAAGTAATTTAAATTTTCACAAACTATTTCGTGTAAAAATAAACCAATGCCCCACTAAATCTTCTTCAGTGAGTCAATGCAAGGCCACCTTTCCCATCCCTAGAACTGAGACAGCTAAGTTTAATAGAACATTTACTGCTTTTATTTGACATTTTTGAGTATTTGTCTGCATGTATGGTTGTGTACCACATGTGTACCTAGTGCCCACAGAGGTCAGAAGAGAGCATCAGATCTTCTGGAACTGGATTCCCAAAGAACCACAGAACTATCTCTCAGTGCCAGGGACAACTAATTTTTTTTTAAATAAGTATCGTGTAGAAAGTAAAGCAGAAAAGGAGGAGAGAAATAAAACACAGACGGATGGGGCTGGGAAGACGGCTTAGTGAGTGAAGTGCTTGCGCTCAAGCTGGAGGACCTGAATTTGGACCTCAAGCACCCAGGTCAAGAGCCAGGCACAGCAGCATTGTCTCAGGGTTTCTATGGCCACGACGAAACACCATGACCAAAGCGTAATTGGGGAGGAAAGGGTTTATTTGGCTTACACTTCCAAATCACTGCTCATCATCGAAGGACATCAGGACAGGAACTCAAGCAAGACAGGAACCTGGAGGCAGGAGCTGATGCAGAGGCCACGGAGGGGAGCAGTTTTACTGGCTTGCTCATCGTGGCTGGCTCAGCCTGCTTTCTTATAGAACCCAGGACCAGCAGCCCAGGGATGGTCCCACCCATAGTGTGATGGGCCCTCTGGACCCTCGCTCTTCCATCACAAAGTTAAAAAAAAAAATATTTTAGAGACCTGCCTACAACTCAGTCCTTTTGAGTTTCCTTAATTGAGGTTCCCTCTTCCCAGATGACCCAGTGTGTGTCAAGTTGACATAAAATTAGACAAGACAAGCATGCACCTGTCTTCTCAGCATGGGATAGTGGAGACAAGAGAACCTGAGAGTCTCCATGGCCTAGGCAAATCAGTGAGCTTCAGGTTCAGTGAAAGACCCTTCCTTAAACATACAATAGGTATTAAAAAAGAACACACCCAGCACTGGCCTGTGGCTTGCGTGCATACATCCACTCCCCACCCCAAATCACACACACAGACACACTCAACTTTTTTTAAAAAAATGAAAAATACAGTGGAAAGGAAATAAGTAGTGCATTCATTTTCTTTATACCTTACCTCTTTCTCAAGCCATGGTCTTTGTTCCTGATGCTTGAAACAGACCTTGAAGTGCCCTAGAATTTCCCAGTGATGACTGTATGGATCTTGGTGTGTCAACGATGTGACTCCTAATAGCTCTGGAGAGAGCCAGTGGCTCACCGTGATGGTTAACCTTGGCTAACTTGATCAGACTGACAACGCCTCGGAGATTAATAAGACACACCTGCTGTGTGTCTGCGAAGGCATTTCCAGAGATAATTAGATCCTGAGGGCTATGGCCTAATGAATGGGTTCATTCAATGACAGAATCAAAATCAAAAGAGACTATTGGAAAGTGGTGGAAACGCAGGAGGTAGGGTCTAGGTGGAGAAGGCAGGTCAGTGAGAGATTGTTCTCCACTCTGCTTCCTGTTCACAGCAGTGGGTGCTGCTGGGTCATACTGTCACAGTGGGTGGAAACCTCAGAAGAAACCTTTCCTCTCTCTTCTCTCTATGGCTTGCCTTATGGTGATCATGTCAGTGAGACTAGAACACTCCAGTTCTGAGGGTCCTGTGCTAAGGACCTCCTAGACTTAGCCCTAAGGCCTGTCTACGGGCACTCATCTGCATTCTTTATAAGAATATTGCCATCATAATGCAGGGTGTTCTTGGACTCTGTAAGTAGTTTTAGTGAATTAATGAACCCGAGAGGGGACTGTGAGAACATCTGACTTTGCAGGCAGCTGGAAGGGAGTGGCATCTGAAGCTGGGACACTGCCCTTTAATCTGTTGCTGGGGTTAGATTTTAATTGAGCTGTAAGACATCCAAAGACTCAGTGTTGGAAAACCCAGGCATCACACGGTTTCAGTCACAAAGGTATAGATAGCAGTTGCCCAGGAGAGACAATGTCTGTCTCACAGTTGCTGAAGAGAAACGGAATAAAATGATAGCTTAAGGGATACAAACAGATTTTATTCAGAAACCATTGCACTAGGGGAAGAGACCTCAGCATAAAGCTTCACACAGTTCTAAACAAAGAAAAAGAGAAAAACAAGGTGAGGGGCGGGGCCCAGCAGACAGAAAATGAGCAAGCATAGACATTAGGGAAGAGGATGCTGGCTAACCTGGCCTAGCAGGATTCTTGCAGAAAGAGGCTGGGTGGTTGGACATCATGTGGGAAGTTCTGGAGGATGAGCAGTCTGCTCAGATCTTGAGAATCACTTCTCTAAATAGCCTGAGCAGGATTCATGCTGCTGTGATTGAGTGTGACCCATCTTCTGTGGACACTTGGCCCGCAGCTGGTAGCTTCGGGGCTTGTGGAACCTTAGTGAAGTGGAAGGAAAGAGATGGGCCTTAAGAAAAGAGATGGGCCACTGGAGGTGGATCTTGAAGTTTATATGCAATCTCCACTTAATGTCTGCTCCCCATGTGTCATCTTATATAACTTATACAACGTCTTGCTTATACAACTCAGGACGACCTGCCAGGGGTGGTACCACCCAGTGGTCTGGGCCCTGCCACATCAATCACTAATGGAGAAAATGTACCATAGTCTCCTACAAGTGTATCTTATGGGATCATTTACTCAAGAGGAACTGAGGTTCCTCTTGCAGATGACTGCCTTGTGTCAAGCTGACAAAAATATATGTCATAAAACTAGACTTGGTAGGTGGAGGGATAAGGTCAAGGCTTAATGCAAATGGGACAGAGGAGTCTATCTAAAATATAGCTAAGGAAAGTCTGTCACAGCAAAGATTTCTTGGGTGGATGTGGTATTAGAAGCATAGAATGATGTGAAAGATCTCTCTCTCTCTCTCTCTCTCTCTCTCTACCTATCTCTCTCTTTGTGTGTGTGTGTGTGTGTCTAAGTATCAAACTCAATACTCCACATACATGTTAGAGCATGTAAAATATGTGGCTGGTATGAGTGAGCCTCTCTTGAAGACTTTCACTGCTAAGCCCTATGATAAGGTTCATCTAAAGGACGCCAAAGGCATGAGACGGTGAAGACAATCGTAAATATGGTGGCCCTGTGTGCAAGGCACCTGCTTCTCCCAGAGCAAAAAAGGCTGGGAGGAGAAAGTGGGAGCTGATTCCGAATAGTGGAGGCTGGCTTCGGGGATTAGCATAAACACTCCCAAGTGCGTCTTGATTAGATGAGCCCCCAGCTGGCTTCACAACAGCAATGCGCCTTTGAAAACAAAACACTCCCTAAAAATAGTTGTCTCCCAGGATCTGAGAGGCAATGAGTTTTCAGAGACAAGTTTGCTGGGGTTTCAATAGAATCCCTGCCAGGCCTACCCCAATTTGATGAAAATTCACCAGGTCTCTCTTGGGTAGGGTATGTTAGTTTGCTTTTCTGTTGCTGGGATAAAACATTAAGCAAAACCAACTTGTGGGAGGAAAGGGTTGATGTCATATTACAAATCCCAGGTCACAACCCATCACTAAGGGAAGTCAGGGCAGGAAGCAGGAACAGAGATGGAAACCATGGAAGGACATGGTTTACTGGCTAGCTTCTCCTAGATTTTATCAGTTGCTTTTCTTATATAAGCCAGGCCTTCCTGCCCAGGGATTGCACCAAACACAGTGGAAGGGACCCTCCCACATCAATCAACAATCAGAAACGTTCCACAGACCAGTCTAATGGAGGCAATTCCTCAATGGAGGTTCCTTCTTCCCAAGGAACTTTCCAGTTCACATAAGTTGAAAGGACTAGCTTTCATCACATAGTGGCAAGCAGAGCGTGGTTGGACTAAGCAGACTGCCTGCCCTTCTCTGTCCGGAACAGTGGTCAGAGTTCTAAGTACATTTCTCCTGTGTCCCTCTATCATTTGGAAACACAGGCTCAGCTTGGAGCAAAACAGACTCGGGGGGAGCTGGCAAACCCTGGACCTCGGCCCAGAAAGAGCTAGAGCTACAGGGGGAAGGACATTTCTTCTCCACCTCTGAAGATGGTACTTCCATAACCCTCCCTCCTTTACAGGTCTGATTCTCCTTTACTGACCTTGAGGCTGTGCCCCCAAGAAACCCATTCTAATTTGAAATGCCGTTAATTGGAAAATGCATCTACCACACCTTACCTTCCAACATCACAGCATAGTGCCGTAGGACTGTCAAGTGTTGCATGCATGTGTTCCCCTATGGCCTCAAAGCTGACTGGGAGTATCTGTGATCAGGAGCAGACCCAAAGTCAGACCCTAAAGTACAGCTCCCATCAAACGCATTTTGGATTGAACAGTCCCAGACGGAATATTCCAAGTCAAACCATTCTTAGCCAGGGGTGGACTGTGTATTTCCTTTTCACTTTGCTTTAATAGGTACCACTAGCCATCAAGCTCTGAAGACAGACAATAAGGTACTTGTGTTTACGCGGTTGTCAGGCAGCACGGGGTAGCTAGCCAGCACCGAAAAAGCAAAATTCTAACATTCTTGTTAAAGACTATTTCATGAAGAGCCTGTGTCGGCTGCACAACCCGAAGCATCCTGGGATGCTGACTTTCCCACACCCTCGGCTCACACCTCCATCTGGCCAGTTTTCTTACTGGTGCCCTCGTTCATCTCCCATGGCACCATCAGACCATCTCTGTGCCCCTTACCTTGAGTGCCTTCTCTCTGGGCAGAGACAAGAGAAGTTGGAGCTGCTGCAAGTGAGGCAATGGTGCCAGGGGTTAAGCAGCTCTGTGTGGGGAGGGCGGGGGAGGTTTGAGTGCATTCAGTCCTAAGTTTCCACTCTGCTACCTAAGGCAGACTTTCTCTAGGCTACCCTGGAGTCTGTCTACCTCTGCCAGAGACTGAACATGCAAAGGTGCTGCTTTCCCTGTAGACAGCTGAATGAGATCCCCCATCTCTGAGTGTTGGGAGCCCAGTTGGCCCTCTGCTCATGGGTAGGTTGCTGTCCACTCGGGCTGGGTCTGGCTTCTCACCACTCAGAAGATGATGGAATTCTCCCTCCATTCTCACTAGAGCCTTTTCCGGTGAGGATTAATCCAGCTGTCTGCTTTCAACCCTGACCCAAGGCCTCTGCTGGCCCTGAGACAGCATTCTGTCTCTCTAGTGCTTCCTCAGATAGGACACGTATCGCCAGAAGTCCAAAGGCTGTGTGGTGACACCATCTCTCTCCTCCACGTCTCAATGTCTTTCCAAGTCTCTCACTGTAGCTGTCTCCACTTTCTGGATATAAAAAAGAGGTATTAGGCCAGTAGTCCCCCAAGAACCATGAGACTCCAGAAATGACAGTCTTAAGAGCAGCAAGACCAGATTCCTTTCCACAGGGTGAGGAACTGCATCTCTAGAAAAGAAATTTCAGGCTCAGAAACCAGGGCCTAAATCCAAACAATGTGACTGCTCTACCAGACAAGGTTGTTGGCAGAAGTTTCTGTCTCTTCCACTAGCTCCCAAATAACTGACACAGAGACTTAATATTACTTATAAATGCTCAGTCAATAGCCCAGGCTTGTTACTAGCTAACTCTTATACTTTAATTATCTGTGCTTTGCCACGTGACTTGGTACCTTTTCTCAGTACAGCATGCTTATCTAGTACAGCATGTTTATCTTGCTCTCTCTGAATGTGCCGGTGACTACTGACTTCACCCTTCTTTTTCCTAGTTTGGCTACCCCGCCTATACTTCTCACTTGGCTACCGACCACTCAGCATTTTATTAAACCAATTTGAGTGACAAATCTTTGCAGGGTACAAAAGGATTATCCCACAGCACAAGGGCTGCCAATAAAGTACCCTATGTATATAGTCCCCTCTCAGCCTCCTGAGAGGAGCACACCAAGGAACAGGACTGTGAACACCATGTTGTGCCTGCAGCTCCCTTTCTGGTCACTGTGACCAAGTGGCTCTACTGACTTCACTGAAGCTGGCTCTAAACCCAGTGTCCAGGGAGAGCAAGCATTCATATCTGGCATTGAGCCAAAATGTCAAAATGATAGATAGAAGTTTGAGAACCAGAGGCGGCATCTAACAGGTTTTCTGAGGTAACTGGAAAACTGATTTTTAACACAAAACCCAGCTGTCCACCCCCCAAAAAATCTTGGTGGATTCTTATGTCAGTAGACTTCTCCGGCTGCCTGAGGCTAATCTGTGATAAACATAGTCACCACGTGGCCAGCTGCTCTCATTGTGGTCCAGGCCTGTGCCTAGAGTATCAAAAGTGGAAAGAGGTGAACAACAAGACCTCTGAGGCTCCTCTACATATTTCCCAATGTCATTAGGAAGAAGTTGACTTCACCTAACAGTGCTGTAGCTTAAACGGTCCATTAAACATTTAGAACTTGGGTAAGAAACCTTCTGTCTGCTCCTTCCTTGGTCTACAGTACCTGAGTGAGGCTGTCACTGAAAGCACAGTGGCCAGGGACCCCAAGACAGAAGAAGAAGACGTAGATGATTCTGGAGATTCATCCCTGAAATGTCTACACCAGCAAATGCCAGTGTGACCTGTGTCCATATGAGCACAGAGTGGGGATTACTACCACTGCTCTTCACCCCAGCGTCTCTTCCTTCCTTACACCAGCTACAGAAAAACATTGTCTTTACAGAGCTTGGCTGCATAGAAAAGAAATAACTTGATACTTGCCCCCAAGATAGCACAGCTGCTGCCCCTGGAGGGGTGATGTATGACCTTATGGGCTGTGCCCATGAGAACAAGCGTCTAGAGGAAATGTACCATTCATTCATTCATTCATTCATTCATTTCTCTGTTTATCTATTGCTTTCCAAAAATACTGCCTTTGCTACATACCTATTAGAACTGCTGGGTCCGGAATACAGACAACACCCAATCTGGTGCGGTTGGTGAACCATGAGGAACGTCAGTGACTACCAGTGTTCTGGAAAGCAGAGCAGAGCTTCAGAACACAGGCCCACCATTTCTTACAAAGCATGCCATACTCTCACTATGTATTCAGCAATCCGACTCATGGGCAAGTGCTCTGGAGATCACCTGGCCAGAGATGTGTAGCTGGGGCAGAAAGTCTAGACCAGGAAGGGAGCTGGATGGAAGTGGGCCTAGACAGGAAGTAGAACTGGACAGAAAGGGGCTATGCAGGAAGGGGAACAACACAACAGGAAGGAGCTATGTGAGTAAAAGTTAGACATGAAATGGGGCTAGGCAGCAGTACCTGGCAGAGGTGCAGACAGAAAACAATAAGAACTTGCCTGCTTGGTAGCACCCCGGGCACAGCGCTGCCCCATCCATGACTTACATCATTTGTTCCTCCCAACTCTATGATACTGAACATCCTCCTTCCTCAGCCTGTCATCTATCCCTACATGGAAGGAAGCCAAGCCCTAAATTTGAAGCCCAAGGCCACCTGTGGCCACTCCCAGAGCAGGTGTGTGTCTCCTTGCATTTTGAGTTACAGGACTGTTTTCCTGGGTATCTTTAAATACTGTGAGTATTTAGGTTTTGTTCTTTGGGTTATTTCAGGCTCTCTGCTTCATCCCTTTATCCTTTCTCGTGGGTTCAGCATCCGGAAATGCTCTCCAGACTTTATTTATGTGGCTCTGTTTTTCTCCTTTGTAGTGTGTGTGTGTGTGTGTGTGTGTGTGTACACTTCACTCCATCAATGGGCTTTAGGCCTGCTATTTATAATCCATTTCCTCGTGGTCCCTCTTGTACCTTTGTCCTCTTTGTCATCTCTAGGTGCTTACTTTGACCCTTTTTAGCTCTCTTGTCCCTGACTTTTCCTTATGAACACAGCTCACATGACTCTGTCCTTGCCAGGAAAAATGGACACTACACTTCTGTCTCTTCTGTTAGACTCACACTAGCCTTTATTTGAAAATCCCCATTTGTGCATCCAAGTGGCTTGCTCATCCTGACAGGGAGAAGCTGAATCTTGCGAAGTATTGTCCACTCACACCACTGCAGTTGGTAGAGTCTACCTCCCTCCAAAGGATCTGAGGACCAAGCTTCCAAAGTCCTTCTGCGTTCAGAGCTCAGGACATACAGTCTCTAGAGAGAGGACGGATTCAGCTTTGGTCTAGTCACATTTGTGGCATTCAGCGAAAAGATCGAGCAACATGTGTTTCCTCTGAGTGCGTGCCTTTGTGTGTGTGTGTGTGTGTGTGTGTGTGTGTGCTTCTTCCTCTGGGCTTTTGGTTAGTTGGTTGGTTGGTTGGTTGGTTAGTGGGTGGGTCCATTGTTTGTTTGGTTGGTGAGTTTTGTTTCTTTGGTTTGGTTTTTCACTATATTCCAGGGCTGTGGGTTCCAAAAATCGCTCTCAAGTTTCTCCTACTGTAGCCTCAGAGGTCATCGTGTTCCTGTAAGTCTCTGATTACTTGTTTATGATGCACACAGCACCTCACCAGCAGCCTCCTAGGCACCCGAGATCTGCCCTGCACGAGGCTGGGCTGGGAGATCCTGAGGCATGGCTGGCTGGGATTCAGTTCTGTCCCAGAACTTTGGACTTCCGTCAGAATTTTGCCTAGCCAGCTAAGATTTTCAAATTCGCAAAATTAGCATTAAAATCTTCAAGGAGCAAAGTTTCCTCATAAGATCAGCAATTCTTCTCCCTTCTTTAGCAAAGAACCCCAAAATATCTCTTCTGCTCACATTTTGTTGCATTTCCTCCTTTAGCTCAGCTGAACAAAGGGGCTAACCCAGGGCAAAGCAAAGCCTTGGCGCTGCCCAATCTGCCAAGGCAGGCCTTTGGTGGACAAGGGACAGTCTGAATCATCAAACCCATCTGCAGTCAGTGCGTCTGGAACTGCACCTGCCATTGTTTCGACGGTATGCACAGGCACTCATTCCCCTGCCTCATCTTGCTTTATTTCCAGGAGGGCTGCTGGCTTCTGGGCTGAGCCTGCAGTCTCTACTGAAGTTCTTACAACAACATTGGCAAGACTGTTGATCTCATTTGACCACCAAACAGTCTGAGAATCAGAATACTGTCGGTCACTCTCTGGTGTAACATGAGGGGCCGGCTTGTTGGGGTTACTGTCCCTCCCAGTACCCCAACAGCCAGCAAGCAACAAAGAAAATAACACAGAGTCTACATCAGGTTATAAACTGATTGGCTCATTAGGTCAGGCTTCTTGTTAATTCTTATAACTTGTATTAACCCATTATTCTCATCTATGTTAGCCATAATGGCTCCATACCTTTCTCAGCTGGACATGTTACATGCTGCCTCTTCGGTGATCTGAGCAGGAGTGGCAGAGGAACTTCCCTGCTTCCCAGAATTCTCCTGTTCTCATTGCTCCACCCCTACTTCCTGTCTGGCTTTCCCGCCTATACTGCCTGCCTGGCCAATCAGCATTTTATTAAAATATGATTGACAGAATACAATTCTCCCGCACCACTCTGGCACCATGCTTACGGCACTCGGGGATCATCAGTCATACAACACCCCTGCATGTGACTCTCCCATACTGCCTATGACCGTCAGCCATATAACACCATCGCACACTGTGACTACCTCCCACTCATCCTCCCAACACTAATGTGACCCAGTTATTCCAAGGTCACGCTCAGCATAATTCCTCCCTCCATTCATCTCTTACAAACTTACTCCTGCAGGGTCCAGGTGTCTCTGGGACTCCATTCTTTCCTAGTCCTCCGTGTTTTCAGACTTCTGCCTCTATACCCTTTCATGCATTATTGAGTGAGGACTGGCAGCCCAGCATGCATAAAAGCCAACACCGGGTGGGGGGAGCTTGCTTGAGAAGATGACCAGAAGACAGAAGTCAAAGCTTAGCACTGCTTCTTCCAGTGGTCAGTAGCAAGGAGACCTGTAGGAAGATAGGGAGTGAAGCTGCTTGCTGGCCATATGGCCACAAGGGGAGGCTTAGTGTTTACACAAGTATAGACAGTCATCAGACCTCCTGATGCAGCTCCTCTTCAGGGGAGGAAGGCCTCATGTGTTCTGCCTGGTTTTTTTTTTTAATATTTATTTATTTATTTATTTATTTATTATGTATACAATATTCTGTCTGTGTGTATGCCTGCAGTCCAGAAGAGGGCACCAGACCCCATTACAGATGGTTGTGAGCCACCATGTGGTTGCTAGGAATTGAACTCAGGACCTCTGGAAGAGCAGACAATGCTCTTAACCACTGAGCCATCTCTCTAGCCCCTGCCTGGTTTTTTTTAGCTCAGGCATCAAAAGATGATTGAGAAGTCAAACTGGCTTCTTTCTTACACACCTGCCCTTTTAAAACTATTTTTTCTATTTGGTTTCTCATGTGTAGTAGTGCTTTGCATTTATGTATGTTTGTGCGCCGTGTTGGTGCCTGACACCTGTGAAGGTCAGAAGAGGATGTGGACACCCCTGGGACTGGAGTTAACGGATGACGGTGAGCTGATATGTGGATGCTTGGAACTGAACCTGGGTCGTTTTCAGTACCTGGGTCCTCTGCAAGAGCAGCAAGTACTCTTAACCACAGAGCCATCTCTCTAGCCCCTCGTATCCATTTTTGAAAAGCTGGTTTCAAAACATCCTTGGATGGATCCTGGCAGCTTTCCCTGAAAAAAAGGCTTAAGCACAGTTATTTGAAAACGTTGTGTCCCAGCGTGCCTGAGCCTGAGCCAGGCTGGATGCACAGAGCCCTAGTCCAGAGTGTTTGCCCCGCTACCGTGCTGTTTCAGGGTCCGCTGTAACCTTGCCCACATGTCTTCCCATTATCTTTCCTTCAAATGTCTTGTTTTCCGTACCGCCTTTAAGGAGCTCTGTTTGCGTTGCACTCACAGATGAACTTGGGAATGTTGGAATACTCGCTGTCTTCATTCTCTTGTCCCTGACCCTGACCCATCTCCCCCTCTACTCTGTTTCCGGTTCGTCCCAGCATATCTACTGACTCTGACCCTGACCCATCTCCCCCTCTACTCTGTTTCCGGTTCGTCCCAGCATATCTACGGGTGCCGTGTTGTTCTCGTGGCTCTCATTGGTACCATATACGCAATGTTTTCTTTTTTGTTTCCTTCCCAAGTGAATAGCTTATTAAATGTCTCCCTCAAAGGGGCATCCGGGAAAATGGATGCCGTGTGGGTCACGTCTTTCTGACAGGGGTTTCTGGAAAAATGAATGCCGTGTGGTTCATGTGTTTGTCAGAATTCACATATTCTCCATTCTCCGCGGTCTGTTTTTGTAGAAACTCCAAGAAACACACGCCCATTCCCAAGGAATCCTCTGATTAAAGCTGCGGGGTACCCACCTGAGGCTCTGCAAAACAAATTGAGCCCAGGAGAAAAGAGAGATGATGCCTTGTCAGGCTGGGGGAAGGGGTCACAGTAACACTGCCTTGAGAATGTGGCTGAGGTCAAAGACGGACAGCTGGACGGAAGAGGACCCACAGCCAGCCTGCAGCATGGCTTCTCTCCTCCTGCTCCAGCAGCCTGTTCAGGAAGGTCTTTTGTGCTGTCTGTCCTCCTGCCACCTCACGTGTCTCCCACCAAGCTCAAGGGCCCATAGCAGAGCCTCTCTCCTGGCTAAGCTCACATTTATCTTCAAATGATCCCAAGAAGAAGGGGGAAAAGCTGTGACCCATTTCGGTTCGCAGTTCCGAATCGGGGTGGCAGTGTCGGCACTGCCCGTATTCAGCAGCTCTGCCAGCCTCCATTCTGCAGACACAGAGCGTGGCCCGCATTCAGCATCCTGGCTCAGCATCTGTCCTGCTTTGCTACGATGCCCTGAGTGTCCTGGATTCAGTTCTTTCTTTTTTTTTTTTTTTAATAAATTACAAAAATTTGACAGGGCTAATTTGCGGCTTGAATGTTGGCCCCGAGTTGCAAATGGTACCGCCCATAGCACCTGACCTCTGTAGATAAGGTCCGAGAACCGTGGTGTCTTGACCCGCAGGGGCCGGTGAGCAATGAGGACGAAGACTGAGAATTAATGGTATTTTCTTCTGCAAATCCCAGAAAGGCAAAGACTGATTGATGTCCGGCCAAAGTCCTATGTCATGACTGAGTTATTAATGGTACTTAGAGCTAATGTGCGCTGACAGCAGGCCACAGCAGGTGAGGGCATACGGCAAAAGGAGCAGAGTACCAGCGCCCCAGGCCTCTGATAACGCAGACGACTGCCACTTCTCAAAGTCACCTACATTAAGCCCCAGACACTCCCAAAGGCTGCCCACCACGGCCTTGGTGGGCGACAGGAGCCCTAGAAACACAGCTATGACTGGTTGGCAGACAGAAAGCTCCCATGACTTTGCAGTTAACTTTGACTTGAACTTACCTCGCTCGACAGTCCTCTATCATTTCGTCTGTTCAAACGCCGGCGTGTTTCACTTATCAGTTTGGACTTCTGAGGGACAGATATGCCCGGGCAGCTGTGAGGTCAAGATCAATCTTTTTTGTTTGCTCTGTGGTCCTTATCACCTATATTTTATTTTTATTAGCGCCTCAAATGCCAAAATACAACTGTAAATCTTGTGATGAATTTTTTTTTTTTGACCAGTGGTCATTCACTAAAAAGCAACAAAATACAATAAAGCTCCCAGACTAGGTTGTGATTGCTCATTTGATGTCAAAATGGTGTTGCTCGCTATAGCAGCAACAGCTAGCAGCTAACCCCAGGGATGCGTGCACTCCTTAACCGAAACTGAAGGAAGCAATGATGGTTTTGCTTTACAAGAATTCATATGAGGCGGCTGAAAGAATCTCAGCAGAAGTGAATCCCTCCAGATGGTGTATGACCCTCAATCTTTCAGCTTAAATGACTGTCTTGACCCGGCGCTGCCAAGAGTGCTTTCCAATTCAGCCACTGCCAGCGTATTGTCAAGTGTAAGTCTCCTGCCATTAAATAATGTAACCCTTCATCCACTGACACAGGAAGGCAGAGCTCTCCCCGCCCTACCAAGTGCACAATGCACGTGACCACGGTGCAGAAGAGAAAACGGCCCTGTGTATGCATACTTCCTTTTCTCCTAGAAGGGGCTTACTTGCAAGGCAATCCCAAGCACCTTCTCTTCTGGAGCAGACATCAATTTAAAAAAAAATGCGAAGTTGTCTGGCAGAGACTCTCTGGTGGACTTAGCAATTAATGAAAACAATGCAGGGTTTTTCATGGAGAGGATGCAATGGCTTTGTTAGCGGACATCTGAGTCAGGCGGGAGGACAGTGTTTATTCAAAGTGGGATGAAGGATGGCTCCGAGGACAGGGTGGCTGCCCTGCCCTTTTTCTCCACAGAGCGCCCTGGCAGCATCTGCTGTTCTTTCTATTGACATCAAAGAAGCTGACATGAAACTGTACCCCTCTTCAACATGTATTCTGCTCCAGGACTTGGGTGACGCTCTGGGCAGCTCTGTCAGTCTCTCCCAGACGTCTGACATCCCCCTCTTTCACACATTCCACTGAGAGAACCCTCGGTTTATTGGAAGCACATATTTTAGTTTTGAAGAAAAAGGTCCCCAGATTTTCTGTTGACTTCATACATAATTTACAGACTGAAGCCTGTTTATTTGGGGTTTTCAATGTCCCCATAGCAATAGGATTATGCAGCCTGGCAAGAGAGTACACAGCGATAGTGAAGCTTTCCAGTGCTTAAAGGAGCTCGACTTCACTAAAGGAACCATTGAAGAAATATTTATGCCTTTGGGTGTCAAGGCTGTTCTTTAAAAGAGCAACATTAATTATGAGTAGCAAAGGAAATTCTGGCTCAAGTGGGTAATTATAGTGCTTGCCTTGACGATCTTTGAAATGCATTTCATCCCTTTAGGAATTATTTCCTCTCACAAAACTGTCTAAATATTTTTCTACTCGCGAACAAACAGAGCAATCGTGCGGTAAAAGCGAGGAGAGTCAAACTCAAGTGGGATGCTTTTATTGGTGGTGACCAACATCTGAAAATGTCCATAAATGAGAAATATAATGAAAGCCCGGAGTGGAAGGCTGGCATCTCTCATAGAAGCTTGGCATCCCACTCCCCAACCCATCAAACCTGATTCTCAGGCTTGATACCTTGGTGCGTGTGTGCCAGCTCGCAGCCCTGATGTTGAGGGTGTTTTCTCCTCAGCACATGGTCAGCAGACAAAAGCAAAATGAAAGAAGCCGGTCAGACTGCCAAGACCCCTTACCAAAGAAACGGAAAATGAGCTTTATCTGCAGGGAGGTTGCTAAATGAGTTTGCAGCAGAAGAAGCTGATGAGACATAGGCTCCTGCCGTTGCTCTCAGCTGCCCTCCACAGCTAGATGGTAACTGGAAAGGCAGCACCTGGTGTGCAGGACACAGACTGAAACTGACCTGAAAACTGCCTCCCTGTTGGCTGGCTTCCAGGGCGCAGGAAACTGCCATTTAGACCACTGAGGGAGGAAAGTCGTCAATGACATTATCAGGCAAACTGCTTGCTAAAATTCCAAACAACCAGGCAAGTCGCTCCCAATGGTGCAATGACTTGAAGATTATAAAGGAAACCAAACACTTTGGGGTTGAATTGGAGTCCTGTATCACAATAGGAAGTGCAATGCCTAGTACTGTAAACCTGGTCAAAAGTCGAACATAGTAGGGAGGTTATAGGTACTAGGGAGGAGCCATGACTACTATCTTGCTAAATATACATATTGTCAAACTGCTTTCTAAATATTTATGCTTATTGTCTTAGGGTTTCAATTGCCTAAAGAGACACCATGACCATGGCAACTCTTAGAAAGGAAAACATTTAATTGAGGTGGCGGCTTACAGTTTCAGAGGTGTAGTCCACTCTCATCACGGCAGGGAGCATGGTGGAACACAGGCAGACATGGTATTGTCTTCAT